AAAAAAAAAAAAAAATTTGTGAATGAGTCGGTTTTTACCGACATCTTAAGAAATGGCCCAAAAAGAAGATGCCAAAACTGTAAAAGTTTTTTGTCCCCCCCAAGTTATTTTTAGTATGTTTTACAAGAAATTATTTATACTCTAAAAATGTGGTTTAATTTAATGTTATTTTCCATTTCTTTGTAATTATTTGTGAAATTTGCTAGCAATTTCTGCGTGAAAACTTCATTATTTAAAGTTTCACCATTATTTTTTTCTGTGCATTAATAATACTAAATAACAGTTAAATATTAACAACAAAAACACAGCATTACTACAATTATAATATTGAAGCAATGTAACATTCAAAATCTTGTAATAACATTTCTGAGACTTTAATAAAAAAAAAAAAATAGCAAGCTAATTTAAACAAACAAAAAATTGTAGTATTAAATTGTTGGTTTGGTGTTCATAGTGTAAAGTAAATGCTACACCAGAACTCAAAATGCTATTTAAGCACAATAAATAAAGAACTAAATAAAAATGCAAAAGCAAAGACTTTGTCTCCTCCTTTCAGAAGTCCAGCATACGCCGCTGAGTGCAACATATACTATGACATTAATGTAGCTCTATGTTTCTCACCATGTGTGGCGTTAGCTGATCTCCTGCATCTTCATCTACTCTGATGTGCTTCAAGTCATCACACCGCCCTGATTCCATCCCTGCACACTACCATCTGAGCATCTCCGTCTCTCTCACACACACTCACACATGCTCTCCGCAGCTCCGCCTTTCCATGCGGTGAATATTAGAAACTCACTCTCTCTGTCCTCTCTAGCTCTCGACCACTCAGGCTGTTGTTATGGAGATGGGATACAAAAGAATTGTTGGCAAAGAAAGAGAGAGAGATAGAGAGAGAGTTGTGTGTTTGTGTGTGAGTCGAGCGTAAAACCTCTAGTGGTTATTTGATGCGCGTAATCTCATTGGACGGTGGAAAACCAAACAGCTTTTCTGCTATGAGAAGAACAAATCATAATATAATATTACAGTTCTCGGTTTCTCTCTGTGTTTCGCTTTTTTCCCTCCACATACTGAATAATATTTCCACAGATTTTCAGCTAGAGTACAAATACTGCCTCGCTTGCACTGAAACCTGACTCAATTACTTTAGCTGGATGGCTCATATCTTAACAGTAGTTGAACAATATTATGGATAATAAAAGTTACAAGTCTGCCAATGGTGCATGATGGGTTTGTGTTTTACTAGCTACTTATTTCAGTGTTTTTACTAGCAATAACGGATCATAAAAACCCAAGATGACGCAATAGTGGTTTCTTATTTTACATCCACAACCATTCAAAAGTTTGGAGTCAGTAATATTTTTTGGAAATTATCAAGGATGTATTAAATTGATCAAAAGTGACAGTAAAACCAGTTAGAATGTTGTAAACGATCTCTATTTCAAATAAATGCTGTTCTTTTGACCTTTCTATTCATTGTAGAATCCTGAAAAAAAATATGTACCACAGGTTCCACAAAAATATTAAGCAGCACAACTATTTTCAACACTGATAATAATAAGATATGTTTCTTGAGCAGCAAATCAGCATATTAGAATTATTTCTAAAGGATTACGTGACACTGAAGACTGGAGTAATGATGCTAAAATAATCCAACTTTGCATAACAGAAATAAATTACATTTTAAAATACGGTAAAACAGAAAAACATTTATTTTAAATTGTAATAATATTCTCCAATATTCTGCACTATTCTATTTTAGCATGTAGTGCCCAAGTAATGTCTGGAAAAATTACATTATTAAGTTTCTGTTTATTGGAAAAAAAATTGTGGCAAAATTTTGATTACCACAAAAATGTATCTCCACTTGTCCCTTTAAAACAAGAAGTGAGGCACTTACAATGGAAGTAAATGGGGAATATGCAATATGTGTGTTAACATGATTTTAATGTGAAGAAAACGGGTAACATTTTATTTTAGGGACCAATACTAACTAATAACTAGTTGCTTATTACTAGTTATTAGTTATTGGTCAAGCCAAAGCAAGCAAGGCGACCCTTACTCATCATTGGCTATTCATCCTAATCACACCACTCTGCTCTGCTGTTGTCTGTCGATCTTTGTGCTCCATTGGGCCTTCTACATAGCTGGCGGGTGAGTCTTCACTCTCTCGTTTATCTATCGTGGACAGTATATTGGATGGTGGGGCACCCCCCTGCCATCTAATTTGACTGATAAGGTCTCCATACTGCGTTGATCGTGCTCTATCTTACCTCATTAATTACTGTATCCTGTGCTCCGTCTCATTGTTAATTTTGACAGACATTTTTTATTTAGTCTTAGTCTTTATCTTGAGACGAATATGCTTATAAATAGACTT